ATAGCACTGATCTATCAAAATTCATGCAATGCACTGTGGTGTATGGCACAGAGAAGATACGCCATGGCCCACAAGTCATAAGCCACGACACACGTGTCATTTTTTGCATAGAAATAGTTTTTGAGTTTTAAAACTCATTATTTGGGTCCTAATTGATTTTCAAGCTTCCACTTTGTTTTTAAAACTCTAATTTGGAGTCCTTAAATTATGTTTAAGATTTGAAATGGCAAATTGAGATTCCTGTAAAATAATTTTTGAAAAATTCTTTTTTTAAAACCTCGAATTACTTTAATTTGGAGTTAATTGTGGTTAACCTCAGGGAGGTTACACAACTTCCTTGTGGGTTCGACACCTGAAATACTTTGGGTAATTTATTACTGTGATCTCGTACACTTACGAGAGTGATTAATGATGATCTCTATTAATCATTGAGGAAGAAACTTGTTTCTAATTTAAAATATGCTCACTTTTTTAATATGTATCTGCTCAACATTGAAGGACAGTCAAAACTTGTATAGCCGGATGATAGCTTGTCTTTTCTTCATAGTTTGCATAAATTGTTTTAGTTATTTTATACTTAATCTCTATTAAACATTAGTCATAATTTTTTTTCAATTTTATTGTTTATTTATTTTTGTTAATTTATATTTTTTTATCCTTTATTTTGTTAATTTTATAGCGTTTTGTAGATGTCAAGAAACTAAACTTTTAAACACCACTAAAGCCCATTTATATAATAGTGGGTCTTCCGCTACTTGTACAAGCCCCGCACGCTAGCCAAGTTTCTACTAATTATATTTGGTCTTTCTTAAGGAAATTAAATCTTTCATATAAGACATTACTTTTCATATGGAAATTGATACACCAAGCAATTCCCATATATAGGTTTTGTATATAAGACATTAATTTTCATGGATGGAAATTGATACACCAAGCAATTCCCATATATAGGTGTTGTATATAAGACATTACTTTTCATATGGATGGAAATTGATACACCTAGCAATTCCCATATATAGGCGTTGTACTTTGCACTCACCTATGTAATAACATCTTATGCAGCTCTTTTGGTTATGAATGTATGGAATATTCTATTAATCACATTTTCTGTGATTATCCTTTTAGCAGAGCCATTTGGCTTGTCTCTTTGTCTATTAACTCTTCAATAATCTATGATCAAGGCTTCGTTAATTAGATTTTGGATACCTCTGGTGAGCTTTTAGGCAAGGGAAGCAGAAAATTTTAGAAGCTATTTTTGCGCTTCTGCATCTAATCTGGCATAAACAGAATGTTGTTTCATATAATGGTCTAAAATTCACTCATCTATAGGTTATTAAAGAGTTTCAAGCAAGGCCGTGTGCAGATATTTTGAGGACTAAAATTATTTATAAAGCCTAGCATGTGTAATTGTCCCTTCAAAAAAAAATCCACTCATCGTTTTTTAGCAAATTATATATTAAGATTTAATAATATAGTGACTCTAATAAAATACTAAATTAATTCAATAGTTAAATGAAATTAGTATTGACAAAGTGCTCCTACCCCATTTCATATATTAAGATAGAATATTGACACTAATATGGGATGGCAATGCATTTTTAACAAAAAAGATATAATTAAGATTAATAATACCAATGATTAGTGTGAAAAACTAATAATAATTATATAAATTATGAACAAGATTTTAATTAGTTTAAATATGCCGTGTTAATGGTCTAAAACTATACAAGGTCTTGATACTAATATCTGCCAATGTTTAAGCTTTAGAGTATGAAAAGGAAAAAACAAAAAAGTGAGACTGTGAGATAAATTTAAAGCAAGCTAATATAATACAAATTAATGTATTATGGATTTGACCCTTCTTTTGTTACGTAGATAATGAACTTAGCTTAATAATTAATATTATACTTTGAATGGTTGGAACTTTTTAACAGGAAGAACAATCAATACTTTTTATTCTTTTTCATCTATAATTAAAATATATAATAATACAAATATCAATTACACATATATATAATAGGGGTATTAATATTTTTTTTTTTGAAGGCCTAAGGCAATTGTCTTACTTGCTTTGTGGCTTCCACGGCCCTGGTTTCAAGGTCAACTGAACTTTCTTATTACTTCAATTTGCCTCTAGGATGTTAGCATATCTATATTAAGACTTGGGAGCATGAAAATTTGAAGGATTTCTTCCTCAGAATCCCATGCAAGCAGATTTTTCAATCTTATAAGGAAATGGATTTAATGGCTACGAGCTTTGGAATAAAGTTCGAATCACAAGTTCAACTAACACAAATCCAACTCTGTCCGCAATGCATACCTCCGTTGCATTCTGTATTGGATGGTACAGTAATTACAATTCATTCAAGATCAAGTCATAGGTTCTCATTGGCTAAGAATTGAATGCTTCAAATTTTTTTATTTTTCTTCTATTCAAAACAGAAGTGCGAAAATATGCTCTCAACATATATTTAGCTTTTACTCAAAGTGTTTGATCAACCTTATGTTGCCATTCGTCATGAGCATTGACCACCGGACTCTTTTTTCTTTTATCCATCCACTTTAGTAAACTTTAGTTTGTAATTTTCTATTTACCTTATTGATTAATATATTCATTTTTTATTTAAAAGAAAAGAAAACTTTTGGGACTATTTCCATCGACAACATAGGAAAACCTTCCTACAAGTACGTGCTCTCTCTTTTTTTTTTTTCCCTTCTTCTTTATCTTCACTTCATCTTTTTTCATTTTTGCCGTTAGTTCCCTAGTCTTAAAATTTCATGTATGAGCATCTCTTTTTTATTTTTATTCTTCCAACTGTTTATCTATATTTTTTTCATATGATCATGATATCATTGTAAATTGGTTTTAATTTGCCTCTCAAGAATGCTTAATGGCCAACCGCAGCATGCATGCACCCTGTTATCTTTTTTTTTTAATTGATTCTTTGAACTTATTTTTTTTTACATGTAAATGTAAACATCATTTTTATTTATATTCATACAAATATTTATTTGCATATTTTTCAAACAAATTTAATTTTTTTTCCTTTTAAAAAATAGGTAATCACCTCTCCCAAAAAAATCAACAATTATTTTAAAACTCCAAAAAGATAAGAAAATTAATTCAAACTTCTATATAATATTTCAATACATTAATTTAATTATAATATGTACTATTAAATCGGGGACGAGTTTAAATATTTTTGAGTGGGGGGCTAAATTGCAAAGGAATATATAAAATGGGGGCTGCAGTCTATCATGAACTTTTTTCACAAGCAAAAAAAATAATTTTAAATTCAAAGAGCCTTTAATGAATGGCATGATTGTCCCCTTACTGTATTGAACCGTGAAGTAGTGACTGAGAGGTTTCTCTAATATTAATATCTAGTATTAACTTGTAATCTATTCAATTTAGTAAATCAAATTATAAATATTTAATAAATTTACAAATATACATCCAGACAACATTTATATTTATACCACGCAAAATTCAGTTATCTTCGTGAAGGGACTTCCAACTTCAATAAGTTAACCATGAAAATTAGAGGCATTTTTACCTCAAAATATAATATCGCTTAGATCCTTCAAGCTTAAGGAAAGTTTTCAGATTCTATTAAGCTTTTTCTGCAATTTTCTTCCTTTTGAGGACCTTGTATGCAATTTTCTCCACACACAAAAAATCACAGGAATGCTTAGTGAAGGAAAAGAAAACAAATTCATGACCAATTAGCATTAGGAATTTAGGATCATAGGCATTAACTTTCTTAGAGAGCCCCATTTGTCATTTTCCCTTGCGGGGAGTTGGTGAGCCTTTGTCCCACGTGTCTCTCGAGGCTCGATTTGAAACGTGGGCACGTGGCAATTGTAGCTGTTGCAAGTCACACGTGTGAAGACTTTGCTACGTGGTGGATTCAGATGGCAACAGTGCTTTTCCCGAGAAATTCTTGCCCCCGCCCTCTTGTATCTACACAGAAATATCTAAGGAGAATGATAGGTAAGAATCTCATAAAAATATTATCGTTAAATTAAAACTTTTTAATATTAATATTTCTAAATTTTAGTATTTTTTTATCATGTTTTAGTACTAAGATGTTAATATTTTTATAAAATTCTTACTTATTATTCTCCCAAAATATTTATATTGTTATGGTTGTTCATAACACAGAAAAACTTTTACCCTTATTCATAAGTTATATTATTAAATTTTTGTAACAGGTCTCTCATTTCCCCACATTGAATATTAATAAGAAAATGTATATTATTAAAATATATATTTTTATAAGAATAAAATTATAAATTTATTAACTTTGTAGAAGTTTTAATTTTTTTTTAGTTTCAATTAAATACATTGAAGGTGACTTATAAATAAGATTAGAAAAAATAATTCTCATATATCAATAATTTGTATTAAAAATTTAACTTAAAATAAAAATAAATTAAACAGAAACCTATTTTTTTAGAAGTATCATGTACATCATACGCACTAAACAATTTAAATGAAGGCCATGTATAATTATATATAATTTCATTTGATGTAGAAAAACAATGAAGGCCATTATTTATCTACTCTCTCCTTTTAAAATATAAGCAGTTTAAAAAAAATTATACCAAAGAGTCCTCATTATCATATAAACATATATTGCTTTTTCTTTTTATCTTTACATTTAATTACCAAAACTCTTCATAATAAGTAAAAGAGATAACTTTTGCAAGGAATTAGGTTGATATATAAATGTAAGGGATATGCTAAATTACTTATATTTTAAATCAAGATTAGGAAAAATATTTTATATTTTAGACAGGAGGGGATAACATCTAACGTATTATTTTATTTGTAGAGTTTATTATATAATTTTATTTTTTTATTAATTAATTAGCATATATAAATGGTAAGATACTTGTGTGGTGTACCAACTTTTTTGGCGCAACAACCCCTTGCCTTGCCTATATATATAAATAATCAAACTCTCAATCCAAAAACGAAGCATAGAGGGGAAAAACATGGCACACTTCCAGAACCAATACGGTGCAGTTCCAGTAAGCCATGATCCAATTCAGAAGGAAATGAATGCCGCCGGCAATACCACCGGCATCGGCGGCACCACACATGTTGCAGCGGCTGATGACACCACTGGACCAGCGATGATTGATACGGCCGCCACAACTGCCACCGCAACCGATGAAAACGTAACTACAAACAGCGATGGTACTCTTGGAAGTGAGAAGGAATATCAGCAGAAGAAAGGAATAATGGAGAAGATCAAGGAGAAGCTTCCAGGAAAACACCACCACAACAAGTAGTCATAGCAAAATTCAGTATAATTTATGTATGAAGTTGATGTATTATGTTTAATTTGGATTGTATGTTTTGCTATTTTGTCGAAGAATGATTACTTTTTTTTTTTTGGTAATCAATGGATTTTCTCTATGTAATTTTGAGATAATTAAATGTCTCTTTTTCTACAAAAGCACGAGTCAGATTATTCACTCTTACATGCCTAGATCAAAATTGGAATGTGGTGTGCACTGTCTTCCATAATAGTTTAAAATGGCAATAAATTCATTTCTTAAACTATAAGTTAAAGAGTATTAGGATTTTTAAAAAAATTTTGAATTAATTTTAACAGTTAAGTGATCAAAAACTTATAGAAAATAATAAAAAATTATAAATAATCAACATCGATTGAATTCTCTAAATAATAATAAATATCAAGAAACAAGTATTATTATTTTCCTCTATGAAAGGCCAAAATATTGTTTAATTAATTATTTTGACCAGCTACAAGGTGATTATTGAATCATCGTTGCTACAAACACAGGTAAGTAACTAAAAATATTATATTTATTTTGATAATATCTTATTAAAATATATATTAATATATAATATATAATAATTAAAATATTATTATTTACAAATATTCACACACAATTTAAAAGTTAACTTTTGAGATTTATAATTTATCAAAACATTAAAACTTAACTAGTGAATTTGTAATTTAAAAGTGAATTCAATTTTTTTTTTCAAGCAATAATAGTTAAGTTGTTAACAGGGAGATTTTATAGAAAAGACTTTTTTGGAAAAGACCTTTTTGGAAGGAAAATTATGTTCAGAGATCAAGACAAATTGAAGGACCAGATGTTTGCATGAATGAACCAAAATACCCTTGTGTTTATAACCTTACACCCAAAGCTTATATCGCTGCACTTAAAGCCTATAACATTACACCCAAGGCCTATATGTACTCTTGCATTCCAAGCTTATATACTTGCACCTCAAGCTTATCACTATGCACTTTACACCCAAAGCTTATAACCTTGCACCCAACCACTATAAAAAAAAAGGTATTTTGTAGTGGTTCTAGTAGTACTTTAGTAGCAGTTCAAACTACTACTAATGACACTCATAATGGTTTGGCAAACTGTTGTTATATAAAGCATCACGATATATATAATAGCAATTCTAGAAACCACCACCACAATAGTCAAAAATACTACAATTCTTTTAATAGTTCAAAGAACTGTCATGATCAAATGGAAATGAAATCTCTCCCTAACAAGTTTGAAATTTTTTGGCATGAACATGGTAACAGTTTATGAAATTGCTAGGACATGTGAAATTTCAATCACATCAAAAGGATCATAATGCAAGTCAAGTAAAACCTTTATCACATCCAAACAATTTTGACATGTAAAATTTCCAACACAAGAGCAAGATGTAAAAGATGATGTAGAAGGGTGTCATTATGAGAATGCAATGCAAGTGCATTAAGATCAAGATTATCCTCAACAATGTCAACGGCATTTAATTCTAAAAGTGAATAATCCTCATATGGATGTTTTATTGCCTCATGCACGTGCACGTGCTGTGTGTTAAAGTAAGCCTCATTATCACCACATTTCAAGATGAGTATTCCTTCTTCCTTGTTAATAATAGTTAATGGCCTCCTAAGAATAAGAGGACCATCACCATTACTATCCTTAACCATATCAAGCACATAGAAGTCAACAAGAAATACTAAATCCTTCCCTTTCACTAGCAAATCCTCAACAATTCCTAGTAATCTCCTTAAAGATCTATCCACAAGTTGAACCAATACATTAGTTTTATGCAAACAATCAAGATGTATAGAATCATAAATGGACAAAGGCATCACATTAATTGCAGTCCCTAAATCAACTAAAGATTGAGAAAAAGTAAAATTACCAATTTAACAAGGGATTGTGAATGAATCCTCACACTTGATTGGAAGTTTAAGCTTCAAGATTGCACTCACAATTAAAAGCATTTACACCCTAGCATTTGGCTTGAACTTTCTTTTGTTGGTGCAACACTCTTTAAAGAATTTTGCATATTTTGAAAATCTCCTTATAATATCTAAGAGAGGCACATTCACATGGATTTTGTTGTAGAAATGAAGTAAGTCCTTGTCTTGGTTATCTTTTGGTAGAGGAGCCACTTGAGCTTGTGGAAAAAAAAGCTTTTTAAAGATTTCATCTTTATCTGGCTTCCCTTCCTTATAGGCCTAGACCTTCCCTTGAGAATTAGGCAAATATGACATCATAGAAACATCACTCTTAGCCTTTCCTTTACAAGTGGCCAAAGCATTCAAATCATTTAGAGGCAAAGAAGACTCACCATCAAGTGCAAAATTTTCTTGGAACCCTACGGCCTCTTACTCCACTTCAACTTCTTGATCTAAGGAAGAGTGGAAGCTTGAGCATTAGTCATACTAACTTGATTTGCAAAGTGCAATGTCCTTCCTAACATTATTAAATTGTAACACACTTATAACATCAATAGGTAATTAGAAGTCCACAGCCTTCTAAATTACCATAAACCATCCATGTTTAAAATATAAAGCAAAAGATTTCTTTGAAATAGTTAGGATCCCAAAATCTTTTGAAAACCATCTAAAACCATTTAAAATATAGATTTACGCACAATGAAAGCATTTAGGAATGCATAAATACTATATACCTTCAAACAGGAGTAAAACAATCAATTTTACCAAACTGAACCATATGTCATGGCATGTGACACATACGCCACGACATGTGCACCATGCGCCGTAATGTACATAGTAGTATTTGTTATCATGACAATTTGACAAATGCAAACTTCTAGCATGCGCCATTTTCACATACGATATACAATTGGAGTGATTCAAGTGCCTACATGTCACTTATTTCATAGTCTAACTAATGATATAGGTTTCATTTTAATCTTATATTTCTTTTGAAATTAGAACACCCGAATGCAAAATGACCGCTTTATGTCATCTTCATTCACTCGAGTGTCCCAAATCAAAACCTTATGTCATTAGCTACTTATAAAGCCTTGACAACATCTAATAGGACATTTAACACCTGATTAAACCAACATATCACCAAGATCACATACATACGCAAATTTGGCTACTAAATCACCCTTTTAGCATAATAGGGCTTTTTTTACACAAGTTTGCACATATACATATATATGGCCAAATTTCTCACACCTATCAATACAAAATACATAGTCATGCATTTGTATTAGTATCCTAGTCCTCTTTATCAAAATTCACCATATATTACACATTTACACTCTCTAGGGCTAAGATATATACATGATCACACAAGTGTATCATAGTATATGTGTGCACTCTTATGACAACTTATATATATATATAACAACATTGGTAATAATTCAAATTCATTACACCAACTTTGAAGAGCTATTAGTAGTCCCACTACTTTTGGCCTGACTTTTTCCCTCTACTACTTTCAATGTTAAAACTTGTAAAATGGTAACCTCGGGGTAAGGTAAATAGCTCAGTAATCAAAATAATTCATAACTATCTATTAACATGAGCAACTATAAATAAGTAAACAACATTTTCACAATTATATATATATATATATATCCATTTTCACAAAACAATTCACTCTTTCTCATGATCATACTATTCATCCAAACCTCCATGCCCTCAACTAAACCTATAAGCTCTTTTGAACCAATCCTGTATATATTAATCCAAGCATAATTTCAATGATAGAAACACCAGGCTAAAAGTATTCTATCTCACTTTCAAACTATAAATTTTCCCTTCTACATGCACAATAGAGGTGTTGTTGACCTTTAACCGCATCCTCACTAGTACTAGAAAGTTGCTAGACTACTCGGATTGTCACATGGAAACAGTCCCAAATAATTGTTGCATTGGATTGCCTCATGACGTTAGCCCAATTATATGAATTTTCTCATCACACTCCTTTACTTAATCTCAAGGCAAACTCCCATCTTTATCATGATCATGCCTTTTTCACACTTATATAGGTTCTAATCATATTCACTCACATATATAAAATAGTTTACTTTCAAAATCACTTTTATAAATAACTTACTTTAGAACTCAAACCCCCTTTAAAGATGAGAAAATTGGGAGAAATATGAATTGGAGAAGTGGTACACGAAAATGCTAAGATAAAAAATGAAGGAATGTATAGGAAAGTAGGCAAGTGATGGTTGTGGTCTTTAACCAATGTCTAAGTGGCCGAAGCTACAATCCAATTTGGAGGGAAATGGTAATAATTCCTATGTGATCTTTCAATCCAATGCAATATGCCACTCTTTAGCTTAACTTGCACCTCCATGAATCCTTCAAATGCATGCCATTTTGCCCTTCTAATGCTATTTGGAATAGATTTGGAATGTTCCTTCATATTTTCTATTAATTCCACCTACGTCACAATTTAATCAAATAATCAATTCATCATATTGTAACATTTATTTAATTAGACTAAGGTAAGACATATTTAATTAGACTTAGGTAATAAAATGACTAAGGGAATATGAATAGAAAAGCCTTACAAGACATAAATGTAGATATGCACATATTTGAACTAAAACCTAAGGCTAAATGAAAATTCCTTAGAAAGACAATTTTAAAATATGTATTTTTGTTAATAACTTTCAACTTAAGATGAATTAATAAAAATTAATTTGACCTATTATCTTAACCTATTAAAAGACATAACTCCAATGTTTAACATCAAAGTTTTGAAAAAGTGCATTTTATGACCAACATACCCCTAATATATGTAACCTCTAGGTTTAGGCAAATATGCACAATGGATGCCATATGAATGCATATAGGTATGTAAAATGATCCAAATAAGCTAAGAAATGTGTATAAGTAATGAATCTTATTATTGGCCACTTTGCTTAAAATTGCTGGCATAGAAGGGTTGTAGGAAATATTGTCACCTCCAACAATAAACATGACACGAGGAAGAATGGGATTTATAAAAATTAAATTTGAGATACCAAATTGATAAATGAGACAAATTTAATAGATTAAAGTTTTATTATCCTATCATTAACCATATTGTTTAATTTTATTGCATTTTATAAATTTTAAATCATATATTGATATGTTAATATTTTTATTTTTTATAAAGTGAAATTTCTTTTTTGATATGAAATTGAAACACTTAGTCGTGAAAAATAATTTGTAAAAATAAAATTATCATATTAAATTCCTTAAATAGCAAAAGTCATGTGTATTTTCTTCTCCTTTAGTAAGGGGTTGAATATGTCGGGCCTTTTTCAAGCAACCTATAGTTTGACCTATTTGGGACCTAAAGCCTCCTTAAGGGCTTTTTTTATCTAAAAAAGCTAGCTTGAATTAGCAAAGCGTCGCCTACAAGCGTGGCCTATTTAGATATAATAACGGGATAAAGACTATTTTTCGCTTTGAATTTTTTTTTTCAGAAGCGCTATGCATCCAGTATTGATAAGTCGGACAATGTTCTCCTAAACTATTTTTTTGAGCAGCAATTTTATCCTTCCATTAAGAACCGCTCAATTTCATCGTGAAATTTTGAGTATGAATACTCTATAAATATTATAATTAGTATTTTTTTAATCTAGTTGAAAAGTTAAGTAAATGACACTTTACTTTTACTCTTCTCTTCCTATATTAAAAACAAAGCAATATTGGCCTCTCATTAAATATTTGTTAATTTAATTGTTATTTGATTTAAAAATTACAAAAAAAGACTAAAACATTTAATGAACTTAGTCAATATTAATTTTTTTATAAGATCCTTTTATATAATTTATTTGTAATTATTGTTATTATTTACAAATCTTCATTCACAATTTATAAGTTACTTATAAATTTCTTAAAAATTAGTTGAGCGATTAATATTTAAAAGGTAATTTATAAATTTTAGATGAATGTTTAAATATAGTAATATTTAAATTATTAAATATTAAAATATTTAATATTTTAACAAGATCTTATTATAATAAATATTTATTAATTTTTATTTTAACAAGATTTCAAGATGCACAACACTTTTAAAAAAAATATTTAGAGGCAAATTAGCACTTTAAGCCTATAATAATAAGTCATCTCAAATAGCTAACAAGAGCAATATGTTACTATAATGTAGGTAGATCATGATAAAATTAATTGGTTCTTAATAGAAAGATAAAAGTACTCCTTAAAAAATAGTTTAAGAAAAACATTGCCTATTTAATAGTATAGGATTCGTCACATAAAAAATATTGAAAAAAAAATAATCTTTAACTCTATAATAATATATTGGTTAAAAAAAAAACCTTATAATAATATATTTTTGACATAAAAAACCCTATAATAATATTTTAGAGAGTGTGTGTATATATATTATTTGATTATATTTATTTTCATTATGTAAATTACCGTTTTGGTTAGGGTTTTAATTTCATTTTTGCCCTTGCCATCCACTCGCCCTTCGCCTCACTCTCACCCTCACCCTCACCGCGGCGCTTCATCTCCATCTCAGACGTCCTTCAATCTTCGATCAGTCGACCCTCGGTGCCGTGCTCGGGAAGTCGTACTCTCCTCCGTTGCCGATCAGTCGAGCTCAGACTTATCCGTCATCTCTTCGCCCAAACTCGGTTCGTGAAGTCTACCTCTGCTCTCAGTCTTCGGTTTGTGGCTTGGCTCTCCTTCAGACTTTCCGCGAGTGTTCACCGTCGATCGCTTGTCCTCGTCCTCGTCCAGTCGTCCTGCTCGTGCTCAGGTTGGTCCTTCTCAGTTTCCATTTGTACTCGATTATAAACTTGCTACTGACAGTGTTTCGCAAGTGTGCTTGAGGAGTTCCTCTGGGACGTCTCAGTCATGGATTTAGATAATATATGAGAGCTAGGTCTAGTTGTGTTTAAAGATGTTACCACTTACCAGTATCAGTTGTGTTTCATTTTGTCTATATGAGAGGTTTGTCTTTTTGGGTGTTATTAATTTTGTTCTTTTAGGTGAACATGGTGTTATGATTTTCATTTTGGAGACCTAGTTGCCGAGTTCACTGAGTTGATCGCCTGGTCTTATATATTAGAATTTAGAAGTTCTGTGTTCATGATTATCCTAGTTGTTTTATGATTTTCATGGTATATATTTCTAGTGATAAGAAAAAGTTTTCTTATTAAACTTTCACAGGCCTTTTTTTTGAATGTGCAGCAGCAGAGATGAATTTATTACTGTCTACACGTGGATTTTATTAAGATTGTAAAATTGGTTATTTATGGTTTTGATATTGGGTTATGAGACATGTTTTATTTTGGTGATTTTTTTGGTGCCATTTGCGTCATATTGTAATCATTTGTTTTCTTTCAGCTTTGGATTTAGACTTTGGTGATTTATATGGTTGATTGCATATTTTAGTTTGGTTCAGAATGGATAATTGTAATGGTAATTTGAATCCTCGTTGTAGTAACTCTTAATTATGGCTGTAACTCCTTATTCTTGTAATTCCATTCCATGTCTTTGTAATGGAGCCTTTGTTATTGCATTCAAGTTTATCTAGGCTCATGGCTCGGTTCAATAAATGAGATATTCTTTGGTAGAATGGTTCTGATTGTACAATCGTTTAGTTCTGGATTTTTGTTAAATCTCCAGAGAATATTCCCACGGAGTTTATTTTTTCTTTGTACAAGTTTTTCCTTGAATGGTGTGTAATTGGCTATTATAATTCTTTCCTCTTCATTTTGATGACTTGTATGATTTGGATTGTGTTGTTTTGCAATGTAGGATTTGTTGTGTATTGGCATTCTGTTTACTACTCCTTCCGTCCCAAATTATAACACACTTTTAAACAAAATCTTACATATCAATAAACCTCATTAAATACACTTAACAACCTTATCTTTCCAAAACAAAAATATAAACTTCCAAAAATACCCATCATTTAATGTATTGAAAAGAGAAGAGACCAACATTAATTATAGAGAGAGGAAGGGTAATATTGGAATTGATGCATTTAATGAAACCTTAATTTACTCAAAGTGTTTTATATTTTGGGACAGAGAAACTCTTTCAAAAGTGTCCTATAATTTGGGACGGAGGTAGTAATATTTTTATATTATCATCAGTTTTGGAAAATTCTCAAGGTATTTGTGATGTATGATCCTGTAAATGACTTGGCTCAGAGTTGTGTCGAAGTATCTGGGGCAAAAATTAATAGGGTATTATATCAACTATGCATATTTCAAACATTTCAGTGGGGGCAGTGTAGTATAGGTCTGCCTATGTATATGTTACTTGTCATAGTCCCTTGAGCAATACCGCCTATCTATAAGTTTTTCTTTAAAAAAGTAAGTCCACCATTCTCTTCTTTGCCAATTCAACTGCAGCTCAGCCCTGTCATGTGCTGCCATCACTTGTTTATAAAATTTACATATTTATATCACATATTTTATTTTTAGGCCACATTTGAAAGTAAGATACTAACGTTATTTATTAAATAATTTGGGCTTGGAAATGTTTGGTCAGTCCTCAATTCCTCATCAGTTAGGCTGCTGGCCCAATGACAACTCATATGACATTGCTTAGCACATTGATGCTTTAGTTGGTTGAACCCTAAATCCTTCTGTGTTCTGGAAACCAAAAACTTGCAGGAGCGGCCAGGTTTATTCTCTCATCCGTTGCAAAGTAGAAACCAGGGGCGAGAGCCAAAGCAAATAGACAACCATGAGGCCAATTTTGATGAAGGGCCATGAGAGGCCATTGACGTTTCTCAAGTACAATAGGGATGGAGATATGCTTTTCTCTTGTGCTAAGGATCACAACCCCACCGTCTGGTTCGCTGACAATGGTGAACGCTTGGGCACTTATCGCGGACACAACGGTGCTGTTTGGTGCTGTGATATCTCAAGCAAGTTCCTTTGTTCCCTCTGTTGTCTTATATTTTTGGTTGGCTGTTGAGGAAATCCTTTTATAGGTAACAGCGGATTTTATTAACAATATCCATCACTATGCAGGAGATTCTTTGCGGCTTATAACAGGTAGTGCAGATCAGACGGTGAAGCTATGGAATGTTCAAACTGGGGAGCAATTGTTCACATTCAATTTTGATTCTCCTGCTAGGTCTGTGGATTTCGCTGTGGGTGACAAACTTGCTGTTATTACAACTGATCCCTTCATGGAATTGCCTTCTGGAATTCATATCAAACGCATTGCTAGAGACACCAGTGACCGTATGCTCAATCTTTATGTTCTTTGCTTTTATGGGTTGATTTCTTCTCACTGTTGCATCAAAGTATATTTTAGGGTTGTGTTTGAGTGACAAAAGCCTTACTTTTGAGTGTTTACCTATCTGGGGCAAGTCTCCAGGTCTAGTTCTTTCAAGTGGATGTCTGAAGAATCAAATGAGTTTGTTCTGTTTGCTGGACACGTATGGTTGATACTTGGGTGGAAGGTTCTGTGAGCATGATGTTCTATTATCCGTATATTTAAATTTAGTCAAGTGACACATGCTGTTTCCTTACTAGGCTATTATTATAGATAAGAAACAGATTCTTCACTTAGCCTATTGCCTGGAGACTGTTTGTAGCTATTCAATTGTTGAAAGGTCAATGTTATTGTACTCCTTACCCTGCCCTTCTATTGCATCTTGCAAATATCTGAAAATATGCTCTTCCTAGCGTGGTGCTTGTGTTATGTACATTCAATGTATTATGAACTTTTTGTTACCGTTAAATATCATGGTAACATCTGGTAATTAATGATGACCCACTTTTCAGAAATCAGTGAATCTGTACTTGTAATTAAGGGCCCTCATGGAAGAATTAATAGAGCCATTTGGGGACCCCTAAACAAAACTATTATTAGTGCTGGAGAAGATGCAGTGATCCGTTTATGGGATTCTGAGGTTAGTGACCTTGATATTTGTATGGTCATATGGTGATATTGCTGTCTTGTAATCATAGGTAGTATTATCAACACCAGGTTGAATACTGTAGAAGCTTGCAGTTAGATGTTCTTTTCCTTCTCTATTCTATGAGAATACCTGCACCCAAAGTTCTTGCAGTGTTTCTGTTCATCCTCTCTGCTTCTCTCATCATCCTGACTCTTTCATGATCTGGCAGACAGGAAAGCTACTTAAGGAGGTAGACAAGGAAATTGGCCACAAAAAGGCGATAACATCACTTGCAAAATCTGCAGATGGTTCCCACTTCCTGACTGGCTCCCTTGATAAATCGGCCAAGGTATTGAAATATTCATTCCTTATCTGTTTCTGTTACAACAACAACAACAACAACAAGCCTTTATCCCACTAGGTGGGGTCGGCTACATGGATTGCAAGACGCCATTGTGCTCTATCGTTTATCATCGTTTATCAAACTTATCTGTTTCTGTTAGTGGTAATTTTTTTTAATTAAGGTTTTTATTAAGAACTTGGGATGATATCGGTTAACCTTATTGTTCTTTCCTCCTCTTTTGGCAATTTCTTAGCTTTGGGATACCAGATCATTGTCTCTTATCAAGACATATGTAACAGAACGACCAGTCAATGCAGTAGCCATGTCACCTCTTCTTGATCATGTATGTATTTGTGTTATATTAAATTTTATGGTTATATTTTTGTGTTTTGTGTAATTTTGTTTCTAGTGTATCTGACTGAAGGAGTAAAGTTGGGGTTCAATATTATGTTTATGGCATTGAGCTGGCAACGGATGTAATCAAATTTTTTTATTTCTATATTGCAAACTTATACCCCCGAAATTATACCATTTTCTTGTATATTGCTTTTGTTCCCTAACTAACAAAATATATGGACTTCTAAATCTAAATTGTTTTTAACTTGGTAATGTTAGATGAAAATGATCCAGCTACTTTGCTTTCACTATTTAATGCTTTTACTTGGATGGTGCATTTGATCAGTTTGTCTATGGTTTTTTGTTTTCTAGGTGGTGATTGGAGGTGGTCAAGATGCTTCAGCTGTTACTACTACTGATCATCGTGCTGGAAAATTTGAGGCCAAGTTTTTTGATAAGGTTAATTTATTTGTCCCGTTTTTCCTTAGATTTCTCTTTATGATGCGTTGTTTACAAATTGTTCTGCTTGTATATCCCATTTTTTTTTCCTCAATTTAGATTCTTCAAGAAGAAATTGGGGGTGTGAAAGGACATTTTGGACCAATTAACGCACTTGCTTTCAACCCTGATGGAAAGAGGTATTTCCTCTGCTCTCTCCCTCTCCCGTCCTCCTCCCTCCTGTGTGTCATCAATTCATCATAATTTTGTTGTTATAGAGTCTTAATTAAAGTGGCTCTATTGAGTGGCCTTTCAATGGCTGAGATTGTTAATCTTCTGCTACATGATGAATATCATGTAGACAGATATTCTTTAAAATGGAAATATTTGAAAATAGGCAGTTTAACTTTTGTCTCTGATATATCATTATTTCTCAGCATTTGGTAGCAGAGATGAAAATTTACATTATGTTGTTATGCAGAGGGAAAAAATTACCATGTACATGAAATATACGACCTCAAATATAGGTCTAAATAGATTCATTGATGGTATATTGAAAAATGCCAAGGGTTTAGCTTTTGGCTGCTGAATGGTCTATGTTGTTCCATGCTCCGAATTGATTATATTCATGAAGTTGGCATTGCTTTAATTTTTCTAGTGCTAAATTATTTTGTCATTAGTTTGGAAAAAAAAAATGGTTTTATCACTTTCTGATTTAGCTTCTTTTTCCTCGCAAATTAGAAGGGATGCTGAGAACGATGTTGAACATCTTACTTGTCTAAATCATTTATGCGGAGCTCTAGTCATCTGAATTATGTGGTAGAAGATCATGATAGAGCATTCTTTAAATGTGTTTCATCCAAATTAGTAAAAGGCGAAATTTAGGCAGTAAACCGAAAGCTACAAGGTTATTTTAATATAATTATAACGAGTTGGTGGATAAGTTTTTACTGCTAATCTTCATATATAAATGGATCTTCTGAAATGTAAAACCACATGTCATGTTCTTAGTTATTTATGGTTTCAGTTCCTATTTTGCATTTCATTAATTTATTGGGTTGCTACTTACTAGCATCCTTTCCTTTCTCACTGTTCTTAGACAATACTCTCTCCGTTCCTAAATATAGGATGAAGTTTGAAAGTTTTGCTTGGTCCTAAATATAAGACGAAGTTAGAATAATTGATGCTTTTTCCTAATTTTACCCTTGTTTATTTATTGTCATTTGAATTTTTAAACAACAATTTATTATGATCATTAATTACAAAGAACTGTAAAAGTGGAAAGTTACATATATTTTTACAATTTTAAGGCTATAACTAATATTTTTTAATAAACGCAAAGTTTGTCAACTGTCTTATATTAAGGACCTGAGTGATAATATTTTACAATTTTATAGTTACTGTTGAACTATATCTTTTAATATATGCTGAGCTCAACTGTTCAAGCTTATTCTCTCATTGCAGCTTTTCAAGTGGAGGTGAAGATGGTTATGTAAGGTTGCATCATTTTGACCCAGATTACTTCAATATTAAAATATAGGTCTGGAGAGGTTTTTTTTTTTTTTTAAAAAATAGAAATCGGATTAGAGAGGAATTTGACTTGTAATTTTTCGTACTTTATATTTTTGTAGTCTCCAACGTGATTATAAAAGTTATTACGTTGCTTATTTTGTGCATGTTTTATTTATTAAATGATTTGTTAACGTTTGTTGTAAAATTCATCAATTTTGACAAGTCTTGCAGGGATTTATGAGTACTTAGAATAGAATGAAACAGCAAAAAAATGATATTGATTGGTGAATAATTGATAATGAAATTAATTTATTCAAATGGCTAGGACTCATGAGGGCCTGCTTTATGGGTTGGATGAACATTTTTCAATAAAATTGTACATAATTGGGTTAATGAATAAAACATTAGGGGAAAGTTAATCTATAGTCTCTGTTTTTAATTCGTTTAAAACTCAAAGTCTGTTTTTTTAATTTTTTTGGGAATAACATAGCTTTGGGAAAAAAAATAAGTAGAAAGTTGCAACACACTAAGGATTAGTGGCTGAATCTGCGGCAAAGATTTGAAGACATTCAGGGGGAGCCACCGAAAATGTTGTGGTGTCATAAGTGGACAGATGTCCCAACTGTGCTATAATATCGGCACACTGTAAACTTTATTGTAGATGAAGCTAACTTCCAGATTCCAGTCATCATAAATGAGCTCCCTAGTGAGTTAAACAATGCTGAAGGGATGATCACAGCCAGTGTCTTGAAAAACCAGATTCAACGCTTCTATGGAGTCACAGAACAGTTTTACTCCCTTCGGCGTTTTGTAAAATTTATTTCTAACTAACTCATCAAAATCAAGGTGGGTGAGTTAAAATAATAAAATTGTCTTAAAAATAAACTATTTATTTGACATGTGGGAAGAGCTTTTTGGAAAATTGAAATGTTATACTTTTAGAATTTGCTGGAAGGTAGTTTTGAAATTGTACATAAAAAATTATGAAAATCAAGAGAAAGCAACTTATATATGATTTAAAAAACTTTTAAAAAAGTGACTAATAAAAAGAAAAGCAAAGGAATATGTTGTTGAAGTCCTGTTGCCAACAAACTTCCAAACCTTTTTTTTTTTTTTTACTACTTCCAAACCAGTTTGAATCGTCAAAAATTCAGCAATAGAGATCGTACTTGTTTCAAACTTGCGGTTTAATGCCCATAATCCAATAGCCATCTTGATAGCGAATATAGCCCTTCGGGGGTTTGAACCAGCGATTGTTTCTGTTGCTCAATACTTTAGAAAATCATGTTCTTATAATGGACGCTGCTTGAGTGCTCCGTGAGTTGGAACGAGTTAGTATGTAGGATCTGAGTTGCTGAAGGAGATATTTCTTCAAAGAGTCGTTTAAACACGTTCTTCTTAAATTTCAAGAGCCAATGAGAATTAATAAAAATTAAAAAGAATGTTTGAAGGTAAGTAAATTATTTAGGAGTTGATTATTGAACTTAACTTGATATAAATTTCAAGTTAATATTTTTTTAAGAAAATGAAAAAATATTTAATAAATATTATATAAAAAGAGAAAAGATTAAAGGAAATTTGTGTGTGTGTGTGTGTGTGTTATTGCGGTTTGGGGATGTAATTTTTTTTTCTTAGAAAAAAAGAACAAGAAGAGAAGGGTTGAAAGTGCCATGGAACCAACTGGAGTTAATATTAGGAAAAATGACAATTAAGGATCTCTTAAAGATATTAATTCCAATTGAGAACTATAAAATATAGAAATTTCAATTAAGGACTAATGGGATTTAAAAAAATGTAGATGGTCTCAAATGTCCCTGAGAAAAAAATATCAAAACACTCGTGCACAACCCTATTTCTTGCTTTGTTTTGGCATCTCCTTCTTTCTTCTTTTCATTCTCCTTTATTCTCGTTCTTTGTTGTTCCTCAGCATGTCTATATTAGCCCCAGTGTTGTGAACGCATCATGCCAAATTTGGGATTTACTGTGGTTTATCTGTGTCAAAGCTTCATACTTTTTCCTCCTGCTCGGCTTCACCCTTCTTAAAAGTAGTGACTTACCACTGTCGGATAGAAGATTGATTAACAAAACTGAAGAAATTGTTGATGATGAGCACACTATCGAGTGAAAAAGTACACTATAGTGAAGAGACTGTTTAGAACATAAACTTGCAACCTAGGAATGGGGAATGTAGGATTGGCTATTCCAACAAATGAGGAAGAGAAACTCTTCTTAAAAAATAAAAATGACGTCTACTAAACACAAAAGTTGGATCATTCCTTCATTCCTCACCTTCAATAACCTCAATACCAAACATGCTTTAATGGTGAATAGCAAAAAATATTCATAATACAAAATCATTACGATAGATAAAAAACGATCTATGATAGTATTATCAATAAGCTCTGAGTAAGAAATCTGGAGCAAAAATCAACGTAGCACATAGGAGTTGAACTAATACCAAATACTAAATAAAGGGAAATAATAAATAAGTAGAACCAACTAATGCAAATATGATAACCCGTAATGAATTTAGTGTTATTATTTAGCTCCATTCCCATAGGACAAATAAGAGACAAAGTTGATGACAACACAAAATTTTTTGAGTTTTTTAGATTTTGATCCAGTTAGTAAGGAATAGAGTATAGTTAAACTTAAGATTAAGCAAATCAAATACACCTTCAGGTTAAACAATCTATTCCTAAGTGAGGTTTCATGTTTTCATAATATTCGTTAGGCATTTTCCCAAGTCAGATTAATGAATTTCCAAGTAACATTACTGGATCTCAATTTGGACAAGTCACTTTTTCTTAAATAATCTATTCCCAAGTGGGTTTCGTGTTTTTACAATATACGTTAGGCATTTTTTCAAGTTGGTTAGTGGATTCTTAAGTGACGTTCCTGGATCCCAATTTGGATAAGTTACTTTTTCTTAAACAATTTATTCTCAAGTGTGGTTTCGTGTTTTCACAATATATGTTAAGTATTTTCTCAAGTTGGGTTAGTATATTCCCAAGTGATGTTAGTGGATCCCAATTTAACAAGTCAGGTTAGTGAAATTTGACAAGTCACGTTAGTATTCATATTCTTTACTTAAGTTAGTGATTTCTTAAGTGATGTTTGTTGTAACATTCTAAGGTTAATTGGGTTATTAAAGATAAATTAAATAATTAAGAGTTAACTTGAATTAAAAGATAATATATGAATGACTAATAGGTCTATCGAACCCTATTTAGTGTTTAGAATTATACTTTAGATGGTATTGGGCCATATTTGGGCCCAATTAGATAAATTATGTTTGAAAGCTAAATTTTTGGTCTTTGGCTGTAGCTAAAATTCCCTTGGCCATAGCCAAAAACTCGATTTTAAGCCTTCATATTTGTATTTCAACTATAAAAATTAGAGAGTTGAGTGGGAGTTTGAAGGTGAATGAAGAGGGCTCCACTACGATTTGTTGTGGGCATTCAATTGAGTCTATTTGGAGCTTCTAATCACTTGGGTAAATGCTTACAATCTCTTTTCTTCCTTTCTTGTGCATTTTCATCATTGTTTTTGGGTAGTTCTTTGGGAATCTAAAAATGAATTGTGATTTTGCTTAGAATTTTAACTTCAAAGGGATTAATGGGTATTTATTTAAGTTTCTAACCTTTAGGTTTTAATGCTAATAAAGTTTTAGGATTTCAAAGTGAGGTTTGAAGTAAATCCTATGGCTAATTAGTTGAGCTAAGAAGGTTATAATTTATTAATGATATTGATTTGACTAATGAAAGTCTAAGTAAACTAATGAAACCTAAAAATGGATTTGGTTGTGGATAAATGATCACAAGAGAATTTTTGGGTTTAGGCCTTGATTAGAGTTAATTAAAGACAATTAGTCATTAATTACTATTGATATGTTTGATTATAGATTGACCATTGTTGGTGCTATTGAGCTTACTAGAGGCTCTGTTTGATATTTACGGGTACTCTTGGCTAGTAAACCAAGAGTTGAGGTAACTAAAAATTTAAAGATAGTATATCATTGTGTTTGCATTTGCACTTTAAGCATTATTATGGATGGCTTGAAATGAGCTTATGGATGAATATGTTGATTTTTAAACTATTACCTAAATATGAAACATGATTCATTGTGATGAAGTGCTTGGTGATTATATTTATATAAATGTTATTTGATATTTGAAATATGAATTGTGCACTTTGATTGGCTATGGGTTGATTATATAACGAGCCATTATAAATTATAATGTGGTGTGAACTGTTATAAGCATACAAGTTCTAGAATATGATGATAATGAATTATTATGATATGCATGAGTTTAGATTCGCATATGCTGATTGAACTTGCATGATTATAATGGGTGAAAGTTCACCCTAGTATAGTAGAGGGATTATGATAGAAAATCTACGTGGTGTAGCCTCCACTGAGTTTGAGCAAAGTGGTTGGCATACTTCATTACTATATGTGCTTAGTATTATCGATAACCCATGAGTGCGGTATGGGTCAGGCACAACACTCAGTATCACCAATCTTGGATTGGATGGTGTGGGTCGAGTACTTATAATACTCTGAAATTCAAGTAGGGGGAATCCATGGTTTGAGAGTGAGTGTGGAATGCTTTGGCTGGGTGACCTTTCACAATTGGAGAGCAGGGCTAGTCTAGTCACATGGGCTAAACCTATATGAGATAATAGCCCATGGATTCGGTCAAATGATATAAGGAGTGATATAAGGCGGTTACATTTAATCACGTAAATCACATTATAAAAATGCATTGTGAATAATGTTGATTTGCCTTATGTGATGTTAAATGCTTAACTGTTGTGATTGCTACATTTTAATATATTTGATTAAATTATTTGGTTATTAAAATGTTTATCTCACTCCTGTAGTTTAATGTTTACAGGTGAGGATTAAACTAAGGGCAAAGAGGAGGCTTATGAAGCTAGAGACTGAGTAATCAATTGTAATGTCTCTAGTTTTATATTTTATGTGTAATTTGAATACAATACTTGCCAACTAGGAGTCTTTCATATTGACTTATGTTT